GAACAAACCAGTGGGGAAAAAAAAACAATTCAGAATTAAAAGCTTTCAGACACTGATAAAGTTGCCAAAGTATGAGCCTGTATCTCTGAGCTTATTTGTATGGTTTTCAGATAACAATGTTAGCTACAATACAAAAAGCAACTACAAGATTTTTTTCCTTAAAAAAACATATGCAATCATTATTTCAGAGCCCTACCCTGCAAGCATCTGTGCCCACAAATAATCCCATCAAAATCACTGACCTGGATGAGAGACTACTTACACATATAACTGACATAACTGTCACATAACTGACTCCCCAGCCCAGCCCAGCCCACAAAAGTTGGTTTACTTTTCATTCCATCCAGGAAGAGCACACAGCAACTGCTGCAGCTTCCTTAGCCTGACAAAGGGTTTTTGAACCCGAAAGCTTGCTTAATAACTATTCTCCAACCATTTGGGTTGGTCTAATAAAAATATCAAATTCACCCAAGGAACCTTATCTGCCTATATCCTTAGACAAACACGGCTACAACCTAAACCCCTACTTACACACATAAAATTTACCTAGATATTTCTAAAAGTTCTTTAGAAAGCACAGGAAATTTTTAAACAAATGTTAAGGCTATCAAGCTGGATTCCTGAGATACATGTACTGATGAATATTCCTTCTCTGTTTAACACATAAATCCTTCTAAAAAAACCTCTTAAGCGAGACATTTCTAATGCTAATATTTTCAATATATTTTTATTTGCAGTTAAACCTTGCACAGATAAAGAGAATAGCTAGAATTGTATTAATACTATACTTTCGATTAATAGCTTTATAAAGAAGCTGGTAATCAACTCTAAAAAACAGGAACTGATGTTATCCAAGCTGCTGTTTATAATGAACAGACCTACCATTTAATTGTCATTTGAAAAACATTTACCTTTGGTGAAGACAGCCCATTTTATGGTAGTCACTCAATGCCATACAGCTCTAGAAAAACAAGCATTCAACTCTGTTATAAAAGATTCTCTGGATTAGTGCCTAAGCACAGCAAGCAACATAATGCAAAGAAACGAAGTTTCAGAAAGTCATTTTTTAAGAAAAAGAAAAACAACACGAATATATACTTGAGTGATAATAGTTGCAGTTCTCTCAGCACTTTCCTCAATAATTTTCATATACTCTTACATAAAATGAGGTCCTAGTCCGTCAAAAACACCATCAGCAAATCAAATGAAAAATGGTTGCTACCAAACAAGAAATAGGAGTCGAAATAGGAGTCCTGAAGTCCCTCCCTTAGCACATGCAGGCCTAGTCAGAAAAACTTTCATATACAGCTATCTTGTAAAGATGACCAGAAAAGTCCTAAAAGCACAGGGGAAAAGCAGCTGATTGTAAAAGACAGTGAACATACAAACCCAGCTATGGGAGTCAGGGAGAGATGCACACAACTGTGGCAAAGAAAAAAAAAAGAAAGCCAGAGGATTAACCTGATTCTCAAGAGCCACTAAATCTGTCAAGTCTGGTGTCATTTACGATCCTCATACTTCTTCCCTAGGCATTTTTAATTGTCCAGAGTCTCTGTAAGTGCCATGAATCCCTTCTGAAGTCACAGAAAAGCTGGCAAGAGGAGAGGACGGCCTGTACAACACGCTCTGTACAAATGCAACAAAGCAGTATTATTAGTTAGGCTTAATATACACAGTACAAACCCTGCTAGAAGGAGCCATGCAGTCCATCTGAGAGAAGCCAGAGCTGACTGAACTGTGACATCCCCGCTAGCTGGGAATTGGGGAAGAGGAAAGGGGTGGGGAGGTTGGCTATGGGGAAGGAAGTGATTTTCCACCCACCAACAGTAAAGCAAACAAAGGCAATGCAGCCACTAACCAGGGACAACCAGGAGCTTTCCCTAGTGAAAGCAACCCAGGAGCTCCCCTCTCTGGCCTTTTCTTTCCAGTGCTCTCCCTCAAGGCTGGAAGGGGTTTACCAAAGGCAAGACTAAGTGTAAGATATTTTTTCCAAGTTAGAAAAAAAATCCTCATCCAGCTGGGTTCTTCATATCCCCAAGACCAAGTTAAATATTGAAGCAACCACCTAATACAACAAATGAATGATTTGATTCAGCAGAATAACTATTTTACAATCACACAGGCCCCAGTTGCACAATAAACTGCTCCAGGTATCATCTGCACGCAGGATCAAGCCTCTAATATAGCTGTACAAATGCAAAGGGCCTGATCCTTCATTGCCTGAGTACCAGAAGCTCCATCGAGCCAAATTAAGTAGGGAGTCAGAGAAGGCAACATTAATAGCAAGCAATTAATATCACCCCCTTTGCCAGGCACTACTGTCTTACTGTCTTTTTCTCCAAATCCTCCTGCCTTTCTCCATTTTCTCCTGACTTTTTCTTGAAATGGATAATAGAGACATTTTCCATCTTCAGTCATGCCAGTATCTGTGCTGAACTTGAAACTCAGGAGTAGCGTACATGCTCAGACTTCTGAGCAATATTTTATGAGAATGAATCCTGCAATGGAATTCAGACATAAAAAGTTTGGCGCCCTACAATGCAGGGACTTCTAGTGAATAAGTTGCTTCATGGTGGCTTTCTCAAACTGATTTAATTTGAAGATGTGATAGAATCTCCAGAAATGTAATTTAAAGATCTGGGAAGTTAGACTTGGTATCAATAGACCTTGGCCTTTATAGTATTTAAATTTTTTTTAAAATTGAGCCCACAGATAATTCTTAAATGATGCCAGATGGAGCAGGTTATGCTTATTAAAGGGAAAAATTTAGCATTAAATCATTCCTATAATATCAAATGTATAAATGTATTTATTTGTACATTATAATTAGCAATCTTATTATCCCACTCCTTTAGCATAACCCATAAACTATGTGAGTGGAATATAATGAATGTTTTCAGTTTTCATCTAAAAGGGCAGACAAGCATATTTTGTGTGGGGGGTCTGATAAATTATCTTGACAGCTTTGAAAGCTAGAATATACACAACAACCATATCAGCTGCTTTTCAGAGTTATCTGAAATGCTCAGTTGCCTGTAACAGGATCACATCTTCTAGGGACTATTTATAATTGCACTACTAAGTTTTACTGTTAGTAACTCCATAATAGAAACTTACTTATTTTACTCAAACACATAATGTGGCTCATTGAGACAGGACTCTTCATACTGTGACATGAATGCTGACTTGTGAGAGCTTCTCTCACAAGTATTTGAAAGCTCTTAAGAAAGAGAAAAAGATGCATAAACCTTGGCTACGAAAATGTATGTTTAACACTACATTTCAACAAAGTTAGGTCTGGAGTGGCCCTGCAACTTGTGCCACTCAGACACACCCCGGTCTCTGCATATGGTGGTCCAGCATGGGAACAGGCTGCCTAGAGAAGTTGTGGAATCTCCATCCTTGGAAACTTTCAGGGAATGCAGGTTGGATGCACACTTGGCTCAGAGGGTGGGTTAGGCAGGGATGACTCTGCCTTGAGCTGGGGGCTGGACTAGATGACCGTGTGAGTCCCTTCCAGCCCAACTTTCCTATGAAGCTATCAGCAAAGCCACTGGGATCTGGGCAGTTACAGGGATCTGCCTACAGAAGCCATGCAGCCCCAGGACCTTTTAGAGGCCAATGCCAAGGGCTCAGTCCCTCTCCCTCACTGGAAGTTCAGGTGAGGGCTATGAGGGAGCCGGCGGGGCAGGCAGCCTGGCCTGTTCTGAAAGCCTGGGCAAAGGTCAGGACTGGTCATCTCTGGTTTGACAGGGCATCTGCTGCAGGGGCCAAGGCTTGCTGAGAGCACAGACAGAAATCACAGAAGAGGGGTCAGATTTTTACCCAATCGGCCATTTTTGAAGTTGCCTGCAGTTAGGGTTGCCAACGCTCCCAGATTGGCCAGGAGTCTACCGGAGTCAGCATCAATCTCCCAGTGACTGCTGAAAGCAATCCAGATCAATATTGTGAATGGGTTGGAAAGTACAATTAATGACATTACATCGTGTTGGAAAAAAAAATTCTCCCTGAATAGCTTCAGTCAGAGTTGGCAACCCTATCTGCAGCCTGCACTTGTGTTTGGTCACAGGTATAAACTGTTTTCTGTGGCCAGATTGGACAAAACATGTCACTTCTGTTTGCATCTGGAGGCAGTGGGAACACCTTGCAGATCCTCCTCAGCAGAAACCCCTGGGATTATGGCAGGGGTGGGCCAGATGTGGCCCGCCAGGTCATTTTATCCAGCCCGCAGGGCCCCTAAAAAAAATTCAGAAAATTAATAGTTATCTGCCCCTGGCTGCCTATCATGCAGCCCTCAATGGCTTGCCAAAACTCAGTAAGCAGCCCTCTAACCAAAATAATTGCCCACCCCTGGATTATGGGCTAGCAGGCATCTGAGGGGAGAACATTATATCCCCCCACCATTGTTCCCAGGCCACTGACAAGGCCCATGAGTCTAAGCGCAAAGGCGGGTCAGCGGGCTCCAACCCCTTCCTACAAATCCCTGGGGGCAGCCCAGGTTCTGCCCCATGACAGCGAGTAGCAGCCCCAGCCCAGCATGCACCGCGCCACCCACCCTCCAAGAGCTTGGGGCGGGACTACACTTCCCGGCATGTCCCGCTCCGCCGAATTCTATGGATGCGGGGCTTCCCAGCATGCACCATTTCGCCTTGAGCCAAGTGTGCCAAGGCGACTGCGTTTCCCGGCAGGCTGCGCGACCGCCAGGGGCCAATCGGAGAGCGGGGCGGTGCTCTGGCTCCTGTCTCGCTGCTGGTGGGGCATGTTTGGCCGCGGTCTTGGCTGCTCCAGGTCCTCCCGCCCCTCACTCTCCGAGAAGATGGCTGCCGTACGCCGGGCCCGCAGTGACTCCCGCTGCGTGGTGCGCTTCTCTGACCGAGAACTCTGCTAAGCCCCTGCGGGGCGGGACACGAGCCGGGCGGGGGCCGCACCCCCGGG